GGCAGCTATAGAGGATCACTGTCTGGATTCACCATTTCATTAGGTATCTGAAAACTTTTAAGCTTTTAATTCCATCATTTCATTTTAATTAGATAGAATATGTTAATAGCTGCACTGTCCGCTAGCTGCATGTGGTTATTTAAAGACTAAAACTAAATGAAAATTTGACTTCTTCAAACTATTCCAGGTGCCACATTGGACAGTGAGGGTACAGAGAGTTCTAGGAAGTTCTGCAGGGCAGCACTGAACCTGTGAGGGAAGCTTGCTCTGACCATTTTGTTCGAGAGTTCAGTCCATAGAAAAGTGAAAGAATACTAGTTTCTATCTACCAGTTTTAAAAATGAATCAGTTCAATAGAACCTTCCAAAGAGGACCAGAGAATTTCTTCCTTTCCTGTGGAGCACCAATAATATAAATGAACCTGTGGATTTTTAACACATCTGATGTTCCAACTTGGGAATCCGTTTTTATTCATAATCCTCTGTCCCACCCTTCGCAGTCTTACACAATGAGGACATTCCCAATGCAGATTTAGAATTAAAATGTTGTAACTTAAGTGCTTTGATTTTATACTTGTATTTTTCTTAGTGCTGAAAATTCTGATTCTTAAAGACATTAACTGCTTGTTTTCTCCTGCAATATAATTGTCCCCACTATCCACAGTTTCAGTTACTTGCGGTCAGTCACAGTCCAGGAGCAGATGATCCCCTGGCAGACCAAGAGAAGTCAATAGTAGCCTAATGCTATGTTGCAACACCTACGTCATTCACCTCACTCCATCTCATCACACAGGCATTTTATCATCTCACATCATCACAAGAAGGGTGAGTACAGTACTAAGATATTTTGAGAGAGAGACCACATTCACACAACTTTTATTTTAGTATAGCTCTAACAGTTCTATTATAATTAGTTATTGTTGTTAATCTCTTACTGTTTCTAACTTTTAAACTAAACTTTATAAGTATATATGCATAGGAAAAAATCACAGTATATATAGGGTTTGATAGTATCTGCGTTTTCAGGCATCCCATGATGGTCCTGGAAAGTGTTCTTATAGGGGAAGGGGCACTACTGTATGTAACAATAAGACTACTGGTATAATTAACCTAAAACCAAAAATAATTCCTAAAAACAGTTAATGATTTTTTAAAAAAAGAAGTTTTTGCCCTATGGTTTATCACATTACAACATTTACAGTCTAACTACTATGTTTAAAACTCTAGCAAAGGAAATTCTCTCAGATGTTAAGTCACCAACCTCAGTCACAACTGACATATACCTAGATTCCTATTCACTTCCTTTTGCTTCTGGCTTTTAGGGGTTGCTTCTCTCCCTTGCCCCAAACAACATCTGCCATACTTTTGTTTATAACTATGTAAAACACCCATCTGGTGCTACACCAAAAAAGAAAGCCAGAGACATCTCCTGGTAGCCCTGTTTCTTCTCACCCTTCCTCCCAGAAATGACCATGTTGTTCATTTATGGTTTAGATTTCCTGTATTTAAAAATAAAATATAGGGGCGCCTGGGTGGCTCAGTGGGTTAAAGCCTCTGCCTTTGGTTCAGGTCATGATCTCAGAGTCCTGGGATCGAGCCCTGCATCGGGCTCTCTGCTCAGCGGGCAGCCTACTTCCTCCTCTCTCTCTGCCTGCCTCTCTGCCTACTTGTGATCCCTGTCCAATAAATAAATAAAATCTTTTAAAAAAATTAAAAAATTAAAAAAATATATAAGCAAACATATACACATACAGCCATGTCTCTCCACCTTCCCTTGGACAGGTAAGTGCACTACATCTCTTTATCCTCCACCTTGTTCTTTCCACTTCTTATTTCATCCTAGAAATCCTGTCACCATAACATGAGGACATGCCTCCTTCCTTCAGGGGCTTGACACCACCTCACCAGAAGCTCTACCCCTAACCGGCTCCAGTCCCAACTGACATTCATCTAAGTCATTTCCAGCTTTGCTACTTCAGAATGTTGTAAGGAACATCCTTGTCACAATTCTTATTTTTGACAGTGTATCTTTGTGATACATTTCTAGAAGTGGAATTTCTGGAGCAAAGGGTAAGCCAATCTCTCTCTGAGGAGTTGTAAACCTCTCTCTAAAAGCAACATATGGCAGTGCCTGATTTCCACCAACAGAATGGTATCCACCTCTGGGGACAAAAGGTCAGAAATGTTGTTTTGGGGAAGCTCCAATGAGCATTATTCTTAGTATCAGAAAGACCCGAGCATCTTTCCATACCTTGGTTAGAGACATCCACGTTCACTTTCTCTGTGAACTGTATTTCTGTAAGTCACACCCATTTTTAATCCTTAACACCCAACATAAGGCTAGTCATTCAGCATACTAGCAGTGTGTACTTGAACAAACACAGCTCCTGACAAGAAAAATTCAAGAGGCAGATGCCACATCCATTAGCCCAAGCTGGCAGTCTGACCCAAGGTGTACACACCTCCACTGTGTACACGGTGGGGCACTGTGTGGGGGCTATGTGAGTACCTCAGGGCTTATCGGGAACCTACCTTCCTCCTGCCCCGCTCCTCTTCTGTGCCCACTGAGTCCTGGATGGCAGGAACGGGGAGATACTAGCTGACCACAGGCCACGGTACAATTAAAAGTGGGTATGGGTTAACCAGAGAAAACCCAAATTGCTGAGGTGACTTATACCCCACAACAAAAAGTACAAGCTGACATATTTACAGATCTTAAAAAATAATTATTCAAGGGTGTTTTTGCCTGTTTGGCATTAACCATCATATGCCATAACTGTTCACAGACTGTCCCTTTCCTATCATGCCCCTTCATGTACTGGGTGGGGAGAGGCAAGGCCAGAAAGAACACTTAGGATGACTTCTAGGAGTTTAAAACCCCAAACTGTCTGATTCTAATGCTATGGTTGTATCTTCCCTGCTGGACCTGTGACAGGAAAAGAGGGGCTTGCTTTCATTCATTCATTCATTCATTCAGCAAGTACTTACTACTTCTGAGTTAACAAAGAACTAGGCAAATGGTGGAGCACCCATCCTAGAACCTCAGAGAATGCTAAGCTAGCCCACTGCCTTCAGACAATGACCTGAGCTGCAAGACAAGGGGAGTCCCTAACCCCACTGGGCTGGGGTTCAAGTGAGACCTTTTTCCGATGTGAAGTTCCTTGATTTTTAAATGCTAATGTCTAAAGATAGCCTATCAACGGCCAAGTGCCAGGCCCACCCCCTGTGGATGTCCCACTATGCCACCAGGACCAGGTATCAAGCATCGTCAACACTGATGATCCAAACCTCATCTAGCTCTAGGAAACCAGCACAGACTTGAGGTTACTTCTTGTCTCCAGAACTCTGAGGACCTCAGGCAGGGCTGGGCTATGTAAAATGGTACAGCTGCCACGACAACAGTCTGGAAGGTCCTCAAAATGTTCAACAGTTACCATTATGACCCAGCAACTCCACTCCTAGGTATATACCCAAAGGAATCAAAAACATATCCCCACATACTGTGTACACAAATGTTCACAGCAGCACTATTCAGAACTGCTAAAAGGTGGAAACACCCAAATTTATCCCAGATGAATGAGTACATGGTCCATCCATGTGATGGTACTCAGCCATAAAAGTGTATGAAGCACTGAATCATGCTACAATGTGGATGAACCTCAAAAACTACGCTGAGAAGCCAGACACACAAGGTTATATATTGGATAACTCTGCTGATATGTCCAGGACAGGCAAATGCGTAGAGACAGAAAGCAGATTAGTGGGAGAGGGAGTATAAAGAGTGACAGCTAATGAGGATGGAATTTCTTTTTGGGGTGATAAGTGCTCTGGAACTAGACAGAGGTGAAGGTTGCACAACACTATTAAATAAACAAAAACAAACAAAAAAATCACCGAATCGTATACTATAAATGAGTGAAATGTATGGTAGACAAATTAGATCTTGATTGTTAAAAAAAATTTTTTTAAAGCTGGGCTCCTTGCTCAGCAGGGAGTCTGCTTCTCCCTCTGCCCCTCTGCCCAACTCATGGTTGAGGCTCACTCTCCCAAATAAATAAATAAATAAAATCTTCAAAAAAAATTTTTTTTAAAGCACTGGTAAAGCTTATTTGTTGGAAGAACATTCTGGAACTGTTTTCCCACTAACAGGATAACTTGACTATGCTCATGTGTTTTTGTTTTTTTGCTACATGCAAATAAGAGCCAAAACCTCACAAAATTAATCCCAACTATTGTCAAGAAGCGGGCAAATCCAGGCAGCTGGTTCTCACTCCATGCAGCTATGGTGCTGTTAGAGTGGCATGCACCCCTCAGCAAGTCACCTGCTGGCTGGCCTGGAAAAGAAGCAGCTGACCAACCCAGGAGGTCTCCAACCTGCCTTACAGTTCTAACTCTGAGCTCTTAAGTTCTTCTCCATACAGACAGTCCTCAGCCAAAACATGGCTGGGCAAACCCTGCTGATAACAAGACAAAAATCCCACCCAGGTGTCAAGATCAGTCCTGCTAGGTTCTGACAGTCCTTGAGTTGAGGGCCCTAAGCAAGGGGTCAGGCTGCCTCAGTTTCCTCACAGGCATGAGTCGGAGGTCAGGGCAACCAGCTCCAACCACCAGTGCCAGGCCCTGTGCCACAGACAGTGGTCAGGGAAAAATTCTTCTCATTTTGGTCAGTGTTGAGAAATCACAAAAATGGCCAGAGGGCAAAAGGCCACCTGGCCAGGATTATCTTTTACTCCTGACACACCCTGGAAGGTTTATTCCAGTTAGGCCTGGGCTTTTCAAGTGCGTGAACCCTGAAACAGGAAGGGAGAAGAAATGGCCTCCCTGGAAGCAAGGGCAGGGCCTCAGTGATCCCGTGGTGACAGTCCAATACACAATCCTGGAGGGACTTGCTTCCCTCCATTTCCTCTAGAAGTGGCTGCAAGCTTCTGAAGCAGTGCTCACTTTCAAATGTCCAAGAAGCTGGGCAAGTCATTCCACAGATACCAGACCCCAAACACTCACCTGGCTTCTGTGCATGGGATGCTAGTCCTACCAGCTGGCCATGGCGGCAGCTACGTCAAAAGGCAACTTGTGTCAACGTGCTGACCAACCTAAAGTAATAGGGAGAAAAAGAAACCCTGAATTTCCAAGGAAATCTTCTGGAATATATGGATGATTTTCAGTCATCTCCCACCCAAATTTATACAGCAAAATTTCAGATTTCAACCACAGCTGTGCCTGTGCTACTTTCCACAGGGGGACAGGCTGAGGAAATAAATTTCTATCCCTCGCCGACCTATGACCCAATACGGTGTTAACCAATAAACCCTAGCATCCCAGACACTGACTTCAGCAATATGGTCAGAGATATGAGGTGGTAATAAGCAGCCACATCCTGACATACCGAATATATAGCAAATGGTTCAACATTCTGGTTAAAACAGTAATAACATTAATAGCAGAAACAGTAATATCTAGAATTTAATAGGTGCTCAGTAGCGAGTTCCAGTTACTATGCTAAAACTCCCTACACCTCTTTGAATCCCAAGGACAATTTTGGGTTACACAATCATCCCCATTTTACAAACAAGGGATATGATGGGTCTAATATTCAGGAATTTGCCCAGAGTCACCCAGATCTCCCTCTACAGACATGACCTTTTTGCTCCCCAGTCCACGCTCCCTCGCAAAGATGGCAGAGAAACTACCCACCATTCCAGGCAGTTGTAGGATTTGCCCTCAAGAAGCTGAGGGTCATGTGCCTGGAGCCTGGCAGACTTTAGCTCCATAGGGCAACTCGAAGTTTTACTCTGAGGATCATTTCCACAGGGATTACAAAACCGCCCAGAGAGGAACCAGCTGCCTGTTTTACAGACAGGAAAATTAAGGATCAAGAATGTTCAGAACTCTCCCAAGGTCACAGAGACAGTGTGGCCCTAGGACTTCCCCCTCCTTTGTGACATCAGATATGCAGGGCTCCACCCACAGAGGCTAAACCTAGAGAACGAGCCAAACCAGACTCCTAGGCAGTGCTGTCAGTTGCAGCCTGGCGAATATTGTCAGTATCACCTCTGCTGTCATTCTTTGTGCTCACATGACTACCAGGAGCTTGGCTCTGATATGAAACCTTTATTTTTAAACTGGGTTCACAGCAATTCACAGTTCATGGATAGCGAGAAACACTCCCACAGGAGAACTTGCAAAAAAAAAAAAAGCAAACATCAGTGAACTCTACGGAAAGACCTTTGGGCACCAAGGAGCACATGGCATCCTCCTCAGTGAGGCCCAGGACCAGCCGTAGCCACCATGTGGGCTAGTTTTTGGGGAGCGGGGCACTTTCTGCCACTCTTTTTTAGCCCCATTCAGGCCAGAAAACACAGTGGACACCGTTAACCCTGGTTCTTTCATATCACCTGAGCCATGGCCTCACTCTGCAATGGAGATGGAAAGCCCAGCAGCAGAGGCTTTCCGAACACCTACCTCTTAGGAACAAGGTCAATACAAGTCAGCAGTATTTCCACAGATTTTTAAAAATCCATTTACAACAGCATAAATATGAAATACTTAAATCTTTAAAAAAATTATTTATCCTTATTTATTTTTGACAGCTTGAGTGTGTGTACACACGGGGAAGGGCAGAGGGAAGGAGAGAGAGAATCCTCAAGCAGACTCCCCACTGAGCTTGGAGCCCAACATGGGGTTCCATCCCAGGACCCTGAGATCATGACCCAAGTCGAAATCAAGAGTCGGATGCTTAACCGACTGAGCCACCCAGGTGCCCCAGGATAAATTTAATTTTTATTTTGTGGTTTTTTTTTTTTTAAGATTTTATTCATTTATTTGATAGACAGAGATCACAAGTAGGCAGAGAGGCAGGCAGGGAGAGAGAGGGGGGGAAGCAGGCTCCTTGCTGAGCAGAGAGCCCAATGCAGGGCTCGATCCCAGGACCGAAATCATGACCTGAGCCAAAGGCAGAGGCTCAACCCACTGAGCCACCCGGGCGCCCCAAATTTAATTTTTAAAAAGATGTTCAAGGGTAACCCTCTCAGGTCCCCTCCCTCCTCAGGAGCTTTGTGCTATCACTTTGATATCACTCAATAAACTTTGCTTTGCTGCCCACCACCCCCCCCCCGCAAAATGTTCTAGACCTATAAAGAGGAACTATAGTAAGACATCACTGAGAGAAATGAAAGAAAACCTAAATGAAGACATGCCTTTTCCATGGGTCAGGAGGTGTCAATTCTCTTTCAAACTGATACACAGATTAAATGCAGACCCAATAAAAAAATTCCCAGAATTTTTTCTATAGAAAAAAAAAAAAAAAATCTGACTCTAAAATTTACATGGAAATCCAAAGGACCTAGAATAGTGAAAACAACTGAAAAAGAGGAAGGAATTTGGAGGACTTATCCTACCTGATTTTAAGACCCACCATTAAGCTACAGTAACCAAGGGGCACCTTGATTTTGGCTCAGGTCATGATCTCACAGTTGTGAGATCAAGCCCCACACTGGGCTCCTCACTGGGCATAGAGACTGCTTAAGATCTGCTCTCCCTCTGCCCCTCCCTCCCCCTCTTAAAAAAAAAAAAAAAAAAAAGCTATAGTAACCAAGACAGTGTGAAAAAGACAGAGGAAAGATGGATGAACAGAATACACCCATGTACCTGTGGACAACCGATACTCAACAAAGATCCAGTATTTCTACTCTGTAAGACCACAAGACACTTTGGACGACAATCTCCTAGACAGTTAACCCTGCAAGGAAGAAGGCCATCTTAATGTGTTAATCACAATACACATCCTGCATCATAGGATAGAATGCAATGTGCAAGAAATTTTAAGGTAAACTCCCACTTTCACACTCAACCATAGCTTTCCCCAACTCAGCTCTCAACAAACCCGGTCTTTCAGCTGCTCAGATTAAAAGCAGGAGTTGCTCTCCTGATAAGACTACCCCACTACCCAGTCCATCAGGAAATCCTATTCGTTCTGCCATCAAACACATTTGAAGTCCAACAGCTTCTCAAACCTCCGCTGGCCACACCATGTTTGGTGTTTGCTCTGTGAAGCCCTATCATCTCCTGGCCCCAGAGGCCTGCCTGGGGCCCACCTGCTCATCCTGCCCCAGCCATGCTGGCTTCCCCCGTCATGCCTTCAACAAATCAAGGACCCTCCCACCTTGGGGTCTTTTTATGTTTGTTTGTTTGTTTTTTTTAAAGATTTTATTTATTTATTTGACAGAGATCACAAGTAGGAGAGATGCAGGCAGAGAGAGAGAGGAAGGGAAAGCAGGCTCCCTGTCGAAGCAGAGAGCCCGATGTGGGACTCGATCCCAGGACCCCGGGATCATGACCTGAGCTGAAAGCAGAGGCCTCAACCCACTGAGCCACCCAGGCGCCCCTCTTTTTATGTTTTAAACAAAATCCCAGATACTTTATCATTTTAACAATCACTTCTTCAGCCAGCATCCCAAATTGAAAATGACCTTTGAAAACATAACTACCATATAATAATCCCTAAATGTCAGCAAATGTCCAGTTCATATTTAGCTTCACACAATTTCTCAGAAATGTTTGTATGGTCTATTCGAACAGTAGCTGTTACAGTGTTTGTATTACACCTGCTCCCTCAGCCTTGATCACTCTCACCCCCCAGATGGCAGACCCTTCCATGTCCATGCCCCCTTTCTCTCCCTGTCAAGTCACTGCTCAAAATGTCTCCTTTGCAGAGGCCCACCCTGCTCTTTCTCTCTCTCACAGGCCCAGCCTCTCTGCATACTCCATATTATGCAGCTACCATCTAAGGACTTTCTCACCCAATAAGAACAGAAATGCCACAAGAAAAGGGGTGTTTTGTCTGCCTGATGCGTGATTTTATTTCAAGCACCTAGAACAGGGTCAGACACACACCGGTGCTTGATAAATATTTATGAAATGAACAGGCGGGGATGATTTAACATTGAAGGAAAAGGAACCTATATGAGGATCCCAGAGCATTAGTCCCCCCATACAAATAGTGTGAAATTCACAAAGGAGCAGAAACCAGGCAGAGATCACTTAGCACCATCAGAACTAGGACCATTTCTCTAAAATAAACTGTAGTTGCTTTTTACTGATACATCATCTGGACTGTTTTGCCATCCACCCGCATTGGCTGGGTTTAGAGAGCTTTTACTGTTTTTATTTCCAACCCATACATCTAAAACAGTATCAAGTAACTCTTTAAGTACACAATTACCAACTCATTAAGAGACTCTTCCACTCCCTTGATAAATCATTATGTTTTGGCTTTGACCCCCAACACCAGGGTCTAATGCACACCCATGCACACACGCACCACCCCAACTCTGAAACCCACCCAAACACAATGATTTCCCAGTTTAGGGGGGAATCACCCTCGGTAAGAAGGTAGCCATAGTAATTTACATGAAATCAAGTCACTGCACTTTGGGGAACAGAAGTCCTTTGTTGCCATTTCACCCTCTCTAGCTCAGGCAAGAGGCTGGCTCCCTTTAAACTTGAGGGGAGGAACACTGGCCAAAAACCAACTGCTGTGTGGGGAACTCCAGTTCTGCAGACACACTCCAGTTGCAGCATCCATGGCCAGCGCAGAGATGGATCTCTGGGGCCACAGTCACCTAAACAGCCTGGGCTCTCCAAGGCACCCCCAAAGGGCCTCATCTGAGGCCCGGCCCTAAAGAAACTGCACACCTCTGGTCTCCTCTACCACCATCTGCACTCACCAAACATTTGTGCTATCTAAAAATTCTTCAAATGTGTCTGTAACCAAGAATTTATCACCCTGGTTCTAATCTAGTTCTGGAAAATAACATGAGGCCAAAAAACTCTAAGATGAAACCCAACAATACCCTTCACCTCTTCCATCTCTAAGTCCACAAAGTCTACTTGCTCCATGAAAACTGAGTGCCCCTAAAGAAAAGGGTTACCTAGACCATCTCTGGCAAAGATCTTAGCGACTGCACCACCACGTTGTCAAGGAGGGGATTCCCCAGTGAGCCTTATCAGAAAGGCAAGAACTGAGGCAGGGCTACCATAAAACATCACACGGAAGCCCAGAGGTCATATTGCCCTATGCGCTGGCTGGCTAGGG